CTCTAGGATAGAGGTGGACTTAACTTGCAAACTCTAAGTTTACAACTTGCTGAGTCTGCACTCTGCAAGGAGACAGGGCACACGCTGATCCTGCAGGCTGAAGGCCTTGTGTGCCCTGGCATGGGACAAGATTGCGGTACTAGAGACAGGGCAGGGCCTGGGAACACTTGCAAGAAAATTTCCAGCAGCCTAGATTCAAGTAATACAAGGAGCAGGACTGGAAGGCTGAGGAAATGCTTCTTAACAGTGACATCTAGGGGCAAGAGCCTTTGAAGGACATTTCCAAACTGCCTGCTTTACATGTTTGTGGTCCTGAATGCTACTGGCTCCCCAGATGACCAGATTTACCTTGCACATTTGCTTAGTGCCTATTGTGTGCAAAGATCTTAAACATACTTGTTTATAAGAGAAGTTGTGTTCCTTGAAAACTGTCTTGTATTGAATGTGTGCTATATGTATTATTTCATGTTGCATTCTGCCCTCTTTGGGGAAAAAGTATAATATTTATTTCAATAAATATCACTGGCTGGGTGTCTGTGGCTCATGCCTGTAATCCTAGCTACTCAAGAGGCTGAGATCTGAGTATCATGATTCAAACCCAGCCCATACAGGAATGTCTGTGAGATTCTTATCTCCAGTTAGCCACCAGAAAGCCAGAAGTAGAGGTATGGCTCAAAGGTAAAGCATTAGTCTTGAGCAAAAAAGCTTAGAGACAGTGCCCAGGCCTGAGTTCAAGCACCAGTATACACATACACACACACACACACACACACACACACACACACACACACACACACTATCAGTTAAGCTCTGTTTTCATTTTTTAAAAACAAATGGTTTTCTGTATTTTCTTTCCCTACTAATATCTTCATCATATTAATGCTTTGTATTTTCTTTTAAATAAATTGATTTTTATTGTCTTTAAATAGTCGTACAGAAGGTTTTTGATTGATTATGTCCATTTATATGTCCAATGCATCTTGATCAGTGTCACTCCTTCCATCATCTCCCCCATGGAGATAGTTTTCTAAGGAGAATTATTTATGAAACTTGTCATCATTAAGTTATACCTGTCTGGTAAGATGCTGCTCCAGAGATTAGAAGATGCTGTTAGATTGAAATAGTGGACCTTAATTCGGTGTCTCTGTAATTATAGTTTCTTTTGAAACTATTTCCCTATTCTAAAAGTAACTTATGAATAAGAGTCCCAGGCTTGGGGCTGGGACTATGGGTTAGTGGTAGAGTGCTTGACTAGCATGTATGAAGCCCTGGGATCGATTCCTCAGTACCACAGAAATAGAAAAAGTCAGAAGTAGAGCTGTGGCTCAAGTGGTAGAGTGCTAGCATTGAGCAAAAGAAGCTCAGGGACAGTGCCCAGGCTCTGAGTTCAAGCCACACACTGGCAAAAATAAGAGTCCCAGGCTAAACCAGCTACTTTAGAAGAGAAAGAGGTGAGACAGCTCAGCCTTCCTCTTTCAGATCTTCATTTCCCTTCCCAAGCCATGGGCACTCATGGTTTTATTCTTTGTGGAAAAGCTCACTTCATCTTAGCAGAAAATGGGTCAACTTCTTTGCATCTTTCTTCACAAGTTATTGAAACAAAAAACACCTTGTATTAATCAACCTTATCAGGTCCAAATTAGCAATTCACTGGAAATGAGGACATCTTTCATCCAAAATGCAAATGTACACATCATTTCCCAGCTTGCCTAAAGATGACAGCTTGGTTATACAAGATTCCGAAGCTCTGTTTGCTCAATAGTGTTTAAACATGTGTTCTCTGAGGGTTAAGAATTTTAATTCCAAAAGAAAGCATAAGGACAAAGAAACAGCGCATATTGGAGTAGTAGAATCGAGGAAAGTAAAAAATTTCCCATCTGAATTAAATGATGAATATTTTGCTACCATCTTTGCCAAGCAGGAAAACTTTGGAAATTCTATAGTTTCATGATTTTCCGATTCTGGTATTTAGCTTCCTCTTGTGTAAGGAAGGCGGGGAAAGATGGAAGAAGACGAGCAGAAGGTGAATAGGGGAGGGAAAGCAGAACAGGGAGAGTTGGGAGTCCATGTGCTTTTTAACCAGAACAAACTACATTTTATATATTGCCTAGGATCGTACTGCTAAAATGTTTTCTCGGCTTAGCAGTTTTTGAAGTTTGGAGATCCTCTGTGATAGACATATTAATGCTGACTGTGGTTTACTGAATCCCCACTGGTCTAAGTGCTGGCCTAAATATTCTACATATTGAGCTCTGCCCCTGGCTGGAGATGGGAGCAGTTTGCTCCTAGATGTGAGCTCACATTACCATCTGGTTTCAGCAGAGGACCAGAACCTCAGTTGCTCGGGCTTGGCCTGGAGCCTTCAGGACTGTAAACTAAATGAACCCTTCTCTTTATAAAAACACAGTAAGTAAATAATCCCTAAAAACATCACATGAAGTAAGCCTTATCTCATCTTTACAATGAAGAAAGCATGGCTCTGAAAGAATGAGAAAGTTTCCCCATGTACACAGTTTTTAAGCAGCAGGACTAAGATTCAAGGTCAAGTTTGTCTGTTTCAAAGAGCAGCGTGGTCAAAAAGGTGGAGAAACACTCCTAGTACAAGAGGAAAGCCTGTGTGAGGGCTCAATGCAAGTGTATTGCCAAGGGTGGAAGCTGCCTGTGAGGCCAGGGACTCTCTCCTTGGCCTCCCTATATCAAAGATCTTTTCATGACAGAAAATAACAATAATAACAACAAAGAAAACAAGAAAACTAGTTACTGTGGGGTAGGCTTAGGGAAACATTGTCAGTCATAGGAGAGGTGGGCCATTTCAGGTGTAGTTCATGCTTGAATCCCAGCTATGCGGAGAGACAGGCAGGTGGAGAATTGTATTCTGAGACTAGCTTGGAGAAAAAGCTAGAGCCCTGTCCAAAAAATAAGCTAATTTGCAAAAAGGGCTAGGACATTTGGCTCAAGTGAGAATGGCCGCTTAGCATGTGTGAGATTCTGAATTCAAATCCCATTCATAATAAAAAGGAAGAGAAATATGTGTGCATATAATATGTTGCATGTTATATATTATATACCATGTATTATATATTACATATAACGTGTTATATAGAATATATAATTTCCATCAAGTTCAAATTCCTGTGGTTGTATGATTCTTTGAGTGACAATTTATTGCTGCTAGTCAGATGAACCTCATTTCCAGGAAGGTAAAACTGACTACTTTTTCCCCTTAAAAGGTAGAATTCTTCCAGATTCTTTTTTTTCTAAAGCATGTTTACTTCTTCCAGGAAATTTACAAAATATACATTTTTAAACTTTAAAGCAAAGCAGGACTGAATTGTGTCAAGTCTCTGGATTACAGTCTGAAACCTATTTGTGTTTATGCAGAAACACACACACTGAAACCCTAAGATTATCGAACCATAGAAATCTCTGTTTCTGTGATACCACTGGAACTTGTAATTACTAAGTGGAAAATCAGCCTGAAGAACAACCAGGAACACCCAGGTTACAAGAAAATACTTCCTGGTACATGTTCCTAGGAAGCTCAAGGCCCATGGTACCTCCCCAGCATCACATGGAACTTAGGACTCAGGAGGGGACTTGGGGAAAAGACTTGCTCCTGAGAGGCACAGTGCAAATCGTTGCATGTTTAACTACACTAGTGGAGGTGGCTACTTAAGAGGGAACTCAGGAAAATCATTCTCTGTTTTATGTTGAACTGTATTCATGAATGTTTATTGGATTTAAAAGTGTAAAATGTTCTTATTGGACACTTCAAATTTCTGAGTCAAAACAATATAAGTCAGGAGCTGGTGGTTCAGGCCTATAATCTCAACTACTCAGGAGGCTGAAATATGAGGATCATGGTTTGAAGCCAGTCTGGGCAGAAAAATTTGTGAGACTATTATCTCCAACTAATCACCAAAACCCAAGACTTGAAGCTGTGGCTAAAGTAGTAGAGTGCTAGCCTTAAGCCAAAAAGCTCAGGGACAGTGCCCAGGCTCTGAGTTCAAGCCCCAGGCTCAGCACCAAAAAAGAAAAAAAAAATCCCCCAATCCAAAAAAACAACAAGATAGAATGGATATGAGCTGAGTGTTAGTGGCTCATATCTGTAATCCTACCTATTCAGATCTGAAGATCGAGGTTTGAAGCCAGCCCAGGCAGGAAAGTCTGTGAGTCATATCTTCAATTACCCAGCAAAAAGACAGTGGAACTGTGGTTCAAGTGGTAGAGTGCTGACCTTGATCAAAAAAAGCTAAGGAATAGTGTCTAGGCCCTAGTTCTGGTGCATGTGCATGCATGCATGAGTGCATACGCACACACACACTCACACACACTGAGGATATAGACCAGGCAAGAATGTAAGAATATGCAGAGACTGAACATTCCCAGAGCTATGGGAGACTTGTGGACATTTGCCAGTGGACACTAGGCAAGTACGACAAATCTAAGCTCTGAGTAGAAAGTGGGCCAGGCTGAATAGCTTTCCATGGGGAAAGGGATGCTTCCTTCTTACTTTGCAGAGGCAAGTTAAGCCCAGGAGTTAAGCCAAGGAGATCTCTGTCTTCATCATGTGATAAAAACACATGGCCATAGAAATAAAATTCAGCTCATGATGATCGGAGAGCCCCAAACTCTGTGTGAAGTCTGAATCTTCTAGTCGATGCAATGACTGGATATATATCCAGTCCTAAGACTTTTTTTCCTGATTCCCTTCCTGGCCTTTCTTCGCCTCCAGCCTCACCCTGGCCTCACCCTGGCCTCCTGTACCGTCACCCTAAGCGTCACCACTCAGGGAAATTCTTCGCTTGTTTTGTCTTAGGTAGGAGGGTAACTGGGACACATCAGTTTCCACTTGGGGCATGGGAAGAAGTAATGAGGGAGGTTGGGGTGCCGTAGCAGAAGTGGCAGTAAAGGCTGGGTGAGCCCCACTTGGAAGGAGATGGGAAAGCAATGTGCTGCCACACCTGGTTGCTTGGTATTTGCAATCAAAGGAGACATACCTGAAATTTCTGGAAGTGTGGGCTTGTCTTCTTTCCAGATGTCCCCATCACAAACAGAAAGTCTGGAGTCAGCACAAATGGCACTCTTTCCTTATTAATGCCCAGGAAACTTTTGTAATTCCCCAGAATATGTCCAAAGTCAATATGGAATAGGTTTCCTTAAAAGAAGAAAATGTCTGACATCATTACATAGCATGAGTGCTTGTAATAACACTTTAGTTTCTTGAAATGATTTTTGGATTGACTAAAAATGTGCTATCTGTGCAAGTGTATTTTTTCCTGTTTTCTTAGCTTGTGGTATTTTTGGTCTTAGCAGGTGTGTGAAAGAAGTAGTAGCCACAGAGCATTTTTTTGAATGAGGCATGTTTTATAACCTTCTGCTGTGCTTCTGACGGGAGCCAAATGCCATTAAAAGACATTCTTGACTCAAAAGTATTCTTAGAAACATACACTCAACACCCTGACTAATATGTCACCATGATATGCCTAAGACTTGCTCATGGTTTTCAAGTTACTCAGGGACAGACCGATAGCTCACGCCTGGGGGAGGGGCTTCCATACACCTGCTGCCGCTGAAGAGCGCTAATACCTATGTCACTTTGAATCCCTCCTCTGTCAATTTCTACCACCATATCATGTCTTCATATTCATTTGTTCCTTCATCATTTTGATAGTCCACAAATGACTTATCTCTTCTGTTATGCTTATCCTTACAGGAAATAAAATAAATATTGGGGTACCTTTTCCAGTTTCCTTTCCTTTTTGTTGTTTGTTGAGATGGACATTACAGGGTATTGATTGGCTTCAAATTCCTGATCTTCCTAACTTAGCCTCTGAGTCTAGTATTACAGGTGTGTGCCATCATGTCTGGCAGACTCTAGTCTTTTATTTATTCAAAATTCATATATAAAAATTCATATATAATACCGTGACCAGTACTGGCCCCTATCAGAATGGACAGACAAGAAGGGAGAGTTCAAGCTTTCACTCTGAATTACTGTTTACCTGTTTTAGTTCTGGGGTTCAAATTTGGGGTCTTCACTTGATAGACACCTAGTCTACAACTTGAGCCATATCTCCATCTTTTTTATGCTTTATTTACTGTTCATAGGGTCTCCTGTTTTTGCCTGAGGCTGAGCTTAGACCATGATCCTGTAATGATACCTTCTAGTATCAAGGATTACAAGGACACATGACCATGCCTGGTTCATTTGTTGAGATAGGGACTGGATGACATTTTTATCTGAGCCAACCAAGAACCATATTCTTACTTTTTTTCCCTGCTAGTCCTGGGGCTTGAACTCAGGGCCTGGGAACTGTTCTTGAGCTTCTTTTGCTCAAGGCTAGCACTCTACCACTTGAGCCACAACACCACTTCCAGCTTTTTCTGTTTATGTGGTACTGAGGAATTGAATGCAGGGCTTTATGCATGCTAGGCAAGCACTGTACCACTAAGCCACATCCCCAGACCGTTAATTTTTACTTTTAAGCCTCATTTCCTACTCTTCTTCCCTTACTCACTCCTGAGTCCTCAAAGGGGTGGGACCTATGTAGGACAATGAAGGCATGAGGGTTCTGGACTGTGTGCTGGGAGGACAGCAGGGGAGGTAGTATTTCACAAGGACATGTGGAGAAAGTGGAGTGTTCTGGAGAGGAGGGAGGTGGTGATGGATGGACAACAATCAGATTCTCTTAAAGCCATTCAACTGAACACTTGGCAATAGTTACGGCAGGAAATTTTATGTGATGTGTATTTTACTACAATAAAGGACTGTTCTACAACAAACAAACTCACCTGTTTCTGAGATCATAATATTGTCATTGTGTCTGTCGCCTATTCCAAGAACAAAAGTGGCCACACAGTAGCCAGCACAGGAATAGACAAATCTCTCCACAGCTGCCTGAAACTAAAGAAGCGTCGAATATTAATTGCCTTCTAACTACAAAGAGCAGCATAAATCTATTACAAATGGCTTTCAAAAAAAAAAAGCAACTGATTTCAGAGAGTCAGTGAGTTGTGCCTGATTTCATTAGCATTGTGCCAGCTTTTATATTTCCCTGCTTTATATTTTCGAGGAAGAGCGGATGATCAAAGCCAAAGGCAACAGTAATTTAATCATAGGGTTCACATCCTCGCCGTGAATCACTTGCCCACAACTAGACAGAAGCCAGAGCAATTTCTCCTTCACTGGTGAACGTGTGTCTTGTTCGTGACCATCATAGAGTGGGTCTGTACTCACAAATCCACATGTAAAACAGATTAGCAAGTGTTACTTATTGTGTTTCTTCCTCCAAACGGCTGCTAAATATGCAAATTGGGAGTGTTAAGCCATAGAGCTTTAAATGCCAGCCAGCCAGCCAGTGTAAGCACCCAGCTTGAGAGGAGTCTGTTCCCTGCAGAAGACTGGCAGCCTGGCATTTTCAATGTCCCTAACTTACCATTTACACTACAGTAAGTTATACATTGCTTGTTTGGGTGATGTGGTATTTCCCAGGTAGGAAAGAATTTACATATAGTTGCTAAAATCTTGGTGCTGAACAACAAAAATAAACAGCCACAAAAAGGACTAGCCAGGCATCTGTGACTGATGAGGGTTTGAAGTCAGCCCTGGAAGACAAATCTAAATGTTTCTTATCTCCAAAATGCCAAAATGAAGATGTGGTTCAAGTGGTAGAGCACCAGTCTTGAGTGAAAAAACTAAGAGTCAGCATCCAGGCCCTGAGTTCAAGCCCTAGTACTAGCACACTCACACACAAACAAACACACACACACACACACACATACACACACACACACACACACACACACAGCACTAAAAGATTATTTTTTAGAACCAAAATCTATGCAAAGCATAGAATAAAGGAGAAGGAAATATTAGAGACATGTGGAGGGCCTCTGTTTCAGATATGCTATGTCATCAGGGGAAAGCCCTGAACCCCACTGTCTCATGGGTAAAGGCCTTCCTTCACTATGCAGCATATCTGGAGCTAGGACACTGGATGGTCCTTTGGTGGAATCTCCATTGGAGTGCTTTGGGTGGGGGAGGGGACACAGGAACTCACCTTCTCTTCAATGGGGCATTTTTCTTTGAGCCAGTGGTTCAGGACTTCATCTTTAAAGGCACCTGTGTTGCCCACTGTGCTCTGCTGAATTTTGGCAATTGTTGTGGCATCTTTGACAATCTCGATCATTCCTAGACAAAGATGCAGAGTTGGATAGAGACCAGAGTCTGGGTCTGCCCCAAAGGAGGAAGACCTGTATTTTGGTTGAATGGAAGGACAGGAGGTTTTGCTGCTTTGATTTTGTTCATCTTATTTTGTTTTTGGTTTGTTTGGCTTTATTGCCACAACGTTAATTTCCAGTTCTGAGTTGTTGGATGGATTAGTAGGGAGAGAGAAGACGAGGAAGACATAAAAGTTGTGTGGGATGTTATCTCAAGGTCCCTGAATGAGAAAAGTGCTGGCTTTGGGTGGTAATAAGGCGAGGCATTTGTATATTTCTGTTTTTTATTTTATTTACCTATTTATTTATTTATTCATTATTTTTGTGTGTACATATTGCTGGCCCTGGGGCTTAAACTCGGGATGTGGCATTGTTCCTTAGCTCTTAAATTTTTTTGTTCAAGGCTGGCATTCTACCACTTGAGTCACAGCTCCAGATAAGAGCCTCATGAACTTTTCTGCCCAGGCCAGCTTCAAACTGTGGTCTTCAGATCTCAGCAACCTGAGTAGTTAGAATTACAGGTGTGAGCCACCACTCCCAGCGCTCTCTCTGTCTGTCTGTCTGTCTGTCTGTCTGTCTGTCTCTCTCTCTGTCTGTCTGTCTGTCTGTCTCTCTCTCTCTCTCTGTCTTAGAGTTACAGGGACAAATGCCAAAGGTTTTGTTCACTTTTCACATCAGAAACTTGGGCAAAAAATGGTTTGATTGATACTAAGATGTTAAATGTCTATAAAAGTACCTGAGTATATTGTAGTGTGTAATAGCTTTGCTAATGTGAATCCTGCCGTTTAAAAAGAAGTGACATCTTTCTGTCTAATTTTAAATGTTATTTGCGGGAGATGGGTTTAATGTGTAATGAGATGAATTAAAGCTTTGAGGTAGAGAAGCACAGGAGGGACCAAGATCTTACTAAAGTAATTTCCATGTATAGTCACAAGAATTTGAGTCATGCACTCACGTATCTTCAACATACGCATATCTTGAATTGAGAGTCATATTCATTAGCCTGGGAACATTTTCTTCTTTTTGTATGATGATGATTTCAATTTTTCCCTTGTTAAATGCCTGAACTGAAAGCATTATGCTATTTTACAACTAGCTGAGTGGTATATTTTCTTCAGTCATGACTACGTACCTATTTTGTCACCAGTTGAAATGCAACCATATGGCAAGAGGCTCAGATCCAGAGATTCAGTCTCCCAAATGGACTCCATGATGCGTAGAATCTGGGCATTAAAATACAGGAACATTTCTACTATAAATACATATTTATTCAATACATTTTTCTTCTCCTTGAAAAAACAGCAGTCTGATAACATAAAATAGATTATAAAGTGTAGAATATATATTTTCTTTTATTTGTTATATTGTAAAATATATAATATGTAATATAATATGGCATATTATTCTCATAATAATATATAATATAATATATAACATATTAGCATAGTAAATATGTTAATATATTATGTTTTACATTACTATATGTTCAATATATTAATGTTATTTATTATTTTCATATTTTATACAAATTACATTATAAATTATATATAATGATATCATATGTTGAAATTAAATTATATATTGATTCCATATAATTTTATTAATGTATAATATTGATTATTAATGATTATATATGTAGTAATAATTGATTACTAGTTTTATTTTCTGGTGGTACTAGAGTCTGAACGTAGGGCCTTACGCTTGCTAGGCAAGCATTCTACTGCTCAGCCACTTCTCTAGCCCTTTTTTGCACTAGCTATTTTTTTGTCAGCCATGGGACTTGAACTCAGGGCCTGGGCACTGTTGCTGAGCTCTTTTATTCAAGGCTGGCACTCTACAACTTTGAGCCAGCCTCAACGTCTGGTTTTCTGGTGGTTAATTGTAGATAAGATCTCACAGACTTCCCTACCCTGGCTGACTTTGAACCATGATCCTCAGATCTCAGCCTCCTGAGTAGGTAGGATTATGAGCATGATTACAACCACCAGTGCCTAGGCTGCTGTAGCTATTTTTTAATATAGGTCTCACTGTTTGCCCAGGCAGTGGTCTAGACCATGTCTGGCCTTTCTTAGGCTTCTCATCATAACTGGGATGCTAGGTACACACCACCACACCCAGCTTGTTCCTTTGAGATAGAGTCTTGCAGAAGTTACTGTCTTGGCTAATCTGGAATGGAGATCCTCCCATGCAGCTGTGACACTGCCCCCAGCTATTGGTTGAGAAAGAGTCTCATGTATATGCTTAAATAGCACTGATCTGTGATCCTCATGATTTCAGCCTCCCAAGCTGATTTCAAAAATAAACTGAGCCACTAGTGTCTGGTTCTTTATTTTATCAAGTGCCTCTGCTTTTGTTGATCACCTTGCTACTCTAGCGAATCTCATTATTGTAAGGCTCATAAATTTGGTCCCTGAAATGTACTTTGAAGGAGAGGATGAGACATACTTCTTCTGGGTACATTTTAGCCATAGATCATTAAAACATTCTACCTTGTTATGAATATTTCTCTACATGTGACATCCTTGCCCTAATAACATGTTCACTCTTATCAGTCACGGGACTGATCTCTTCTGTCACCTAGCTGTTCATCACCTCTCCTTTACATTAAATCATTCACCCGAGTTTGTGCATGTCCATCAGCATGGAGCTGTGTCTGTGAACAGGAATGAACTAGGGGCTAGGGTAAATCTGGAAACATGCTATACTATCAAGTTCAGAATGGATGTGTAAAAGAAGTTAGGTAGGAAGCGTATCTGGCTACTGGGGAATATTAGATATACATCTTTGAAGGGATGGGCAGACCGTGATGCACATTAGATTATATCTACCTATCGAATGGTCATAGCTCTTTTCACCCTGGGTTGCTGTTATTATAGGAAATGATTGAATGAGATTAGGATCAGTAGAAGGCATGACTTAGATCTAATACAGAATTCTTTTCTCAGATAGGTAATTGAAGAAGATTCCTAAACATGAACGTACCTGTAAAATGAGCATGTCTTGACGCAGATCATCACCATGTTTAAAGATAATCCCAATGGTCTCATTTGACAGGGCTGTAGGGTCAGCGCACTTAAATTCTAGCCATAGGGGCTTCTTCTTGGAGGCCATCACTTTGCATTTTTCAATCTGTAAGGAAGTGTTCACATGTTTCCTATGCGCAATAAATACACATTGTAGAGATACAAATCCCACAACCAGGGCAGAGTCCTAGTTTCAAAATGATTTTCAACATTTGGGTAAAAATGCAGAAAGTAATTTCAAGTCTCAAGTGTTATATGAGAGCAAATTGACAACAGTGGAAGCAACGGTTCAACTGTACTCTCGGGAGCTCCAGGTGTCCCCCCTGCAGGCCCACAGACTCTGCACTTCCACGTTCTCCTTAGTTAAGAGAAACTCCTCTATTATCTGCCCAGGTGTTTGGTTTACTCCTAAGCCTTTTAATGCTATCATAGTGTCTAAAACACCATTATCAGAGAATTGTATCCTACAGACCAAATCTAACCAGATGAAATTTAACAGAAACAAAAGCAAAACCTGACTTACATACACTTGCCTCTTGCCCATCCCTCCCCCTGATCCCAAGTCTAAACAAATTTAAAGTAGAGAAAATGTGGTTTAGTATTCACTCAAAAATACAAAGTTAAGGCTGGGCAGGGTACTGAATGCATGTAATCACAGCTAGATGGGTGTTGGAGATTGAGAGGATTGTCATTTTTGGATAGCTTAGGCAAAAAGTTAGCAAAAAGTAAACTGAGAGTTAGCAACAAATAAACTGAGAGTGGTACCATATGTCTGGGGGTGAGGAGCAAGACCCTATCTCAAAAATCAGATGGTGAGAAGAATATGGCATATATACAATAGAGTTTCATACAATATAAAGAAGAATGAAATTATGCCATTTGCTACAAAATGGTTGGATCTGGAGACTGTCATATTAAGTGAAAGAAATTCAGAAAGACAAATGCTATGCACACTTTCTCTCATATGCAGAATCTGGATATATGTATATGTATATGTATATGTATATATATATGGATATAAACAAACAAATGAGAAGTTATGAGCCTAAATTGAAGACAATTGGAGGGAGTTAGAGTAAGGGGAAGGAAGCAGAGAAGTTGATGGAGGTGAATAAGGTCAAAGTATATTATATGCAGATGTGGACATATCACATCTGCTCTATACAATTTTAAAAAAAACAACAAAACAAAACTCTGGCACCTGTAGTCCCTGTGATACAGGGGACAGAAAGATTGTAGTTTGAGGCTGGCCCTGGCAAAATTTTAATCCTTATATAAAAAATAACAAAAGCAAAAAGTGTTCAAGTGGTAAGGAACTTATCTAGCAAGTGTAAGGAAGTTACACTTTGCTGTCTAGTAAGTTCAAAATACAGTAGGGGAAAACATTGCTGAGCTTGGTAGTACATACTTGCAATCCCAGTTCAGGGCCAGCTCAGGCAAAAAGCACAACATGTATCAACAAGTAAGGTGGGTATGCCTGCAGTCCCAGCTACAGACCAAGGCTACCTTGGACAAAAATATGAGACCCTAGCTGAAAAAAGCAAAGAAAGACTGGGGGCAGAGCTTCAGTGGTAGAGCACTTTAAGACCCTGAGTTCAAATCTCAGTACTGAGAAAACAAAAAAACAAACAAAAAGCAATGTGGCCTTTAAAAACCCCACAATTTCAAATATGTGTTAATATATCATGAATCCTATTCCACTAAATATGAAGGAAAGTATTCACTTTTTCTATAGAATAAATTCACAACACTTTAACCCATAGTTCTCAAACTGTGCTCCAAATAACCCTAAAGTTATACAGGGACCTTTATTAAATATAAATACCTATAATTAATAGTAATCACATATAACACTTAACACTACAGGTAGGAGCTTGTTTTCCTTTCCACAAGGCTAAGTCCTAAGGGAATTGCTGTCCTGCCATACACAAGCAGAAGACTAGGGGAAATATTTGAAGTAATTCTTTCAGGCATTGGACAACAAACAGAGAAAGTCTATGGCTCTGGAGAAAAAAAGATAAAGAAAAATAGCCCTGAGATAGCTTCAGGTTCCTGCTGGAGGTCATCTCCAGGCTAGAGCACCTAGAAAGGGGAGAAGGTTAGCCCATCATGCTCCAGCAGTCCAGAAATAAACTCACTGCACTAAGAAAAAGAGAGAAAAGAGGGGACAGGAAAAAAAAACACCACTGGCTGAAAAGTTTCCAAATTCAGAATTATAGACCCACCTGCCAGAGAAATTCAACACAAAAATCATTCAAGGTACATCTTAATTAATTTGCTGAGAAATGATTTTTTTCAGAAAATCTCAGAGAAAAGGATGCATATTGTAGAGCAAATCAATATAAGAATGACAGAGATATCTCATCAGAAAATATGTAAATCAGAAGAAAGCATTATTAAAAGAAAAAACCCAGCAGGTTAGAATTCTGTATCAGTTTGTATTGTTTATGAGGAGACAGCAATTCCTGTAGGACTTAATTCTGGTTTCTCTTTGCTTGGCACTGAGGCTTGAACTCAGGGCCTTATGTTTTCACTCAGCTTGCTTGTGTGGTACTCCACCACTTGAACCATACTTCCTACCCAGCTCCTTTGCTGGTTATTTTGGAGCTATGTTCTTTCAGACTTTTCTGCTTGAGTTGGCTTTGAACTATGATCCTCTAGATCTCTGCCTCCTAAGTAGCTAGGAGAGGTATGAGCTACCAGTACCCTGTTCATATTCTTAATATTTTTCAAAAATTAACAGATATTAAAGACTTTCAGATAAACAAATGCTGAAATAATTTAACGCTAGCAGAACTTTCAGTAAAAAATGTACAAGGTCAAGGGCAAATCATGCTAGATGGGACTCTCCTTTGCTGCACTATCTCCAGTGCAGAAAATATGAGAATGAATACTTAAAAATAGTTTATTCTCCAGCTGAAGTGATAGAGCACTTGTCTAGCAAGTGCAAGGCCTTTGCTTCAAACTCCAAGACCACCAAAAGAAAAAAAGAGTAAAAGACAAATTATAGTTTCTTTAAGCTATTAAATCTATTTTTGTTTAAAGCAGAAATAAAAATAACATTGTGAAGTTTATAGCATGCAGAAGTTAAAGCATCATTTTTACAAGAAAATATTTTTTTTAAAAAGAAGTTAAAAGCATAATAAAATATAGCAGGAGGGTTGAGGGGTGTTTGATGGAAGCATAGTACTGGAAAACTTGTACTCATCCATCGAGTGGCTTGATATTTGAGTGTGATCAGGAGTGTGTGGTGTTGGTTGTCAGCACAGCAGTTTAGATGAGAACAGAATAGAGAGCTTATATAGAGATAACACATATGGTCAGCTGATATTTGACTCAAAAAAAGCTTTATGTATAAATTCTTTAAAAATGGTCAGCCCTTCTACATACTGGTAGGGATATGCTACCAGGTGTTTGTCAAAAACTCTTGACTTGTATACTTTAGTAGGATATGTACATTTCTTGCTGGCAAAGGATAACTCAATCAGTTGATGTTCAATAAAACAGGATGGAGACGAGCTGGTATTAGGGATTAACCAAAACTCATCCAGGGACCCCCTAGCTCTACATAAGGACCAGGCCAGAGAAAGCATGCTAGACATGTGCAAGACAAAAAAGACCACAGGGAGACTTCCCGGTGATACCTACCACCAGGGCGCCAGCTTTCAGTCCAGGATCGTAGGGCACTCGGAAGCTTTGTGGGAGATTGGAATTCTGCAGGTTTTCAAGCTTTTGCTTAAGCTGTGAAATAACTGTAATTGTCACAAGCACACAAGAGTTAAGTGAGTCCAAGCAATTACCAACAATATCTCGATATTCCCAAAGTCAAATGTATTTTGGGCATTGTATACATTTGGCCAGGGTGGAGCAGGAGAAAGGAGTGTGGCCTATGCCTGGCATTTGAGGAACTGGCCGTTAAGGAGGCAATGCAGTGCCAACATCTCTGACCTGGGATCGTGTGGGGGAGGGCACAGGCACTGGGTCACACAGAAGGGGGACTTGAGGGCATTGCTGAGGAGTTCATACTGCCTTACTCTTCCCAGTGTCTGAAACTTGGAGCTGCTGTCTGGCTTGGGAACAGACATGCAAAGACAACATTAAATGGAGTTTAGTTAGGGTTCTGTCAATTCTCTTCAAAGGAGGAAAGTGGGATATGGCAGGGCTATGACAAAATTTTCAGGCCTAAATCCAGAAAAACCACTCTCAGGCTAACAGAACAGAGGCCATTGTGAATGTCAGATGATTATTATGATCGTTTTTTAGGAAGCAGAATTATTAATGTACTGAAAAAGAATGAAAGGAAAAAAGAAATTAAGCCACTGGCTAGGGATATTAGTATCTGTTTTGAGCTAAGTCTGGGGTTAGTAAAAAAAAAGAAGCAATTATTCCCTTGCTTTGAAGTTTACATACTTTTCAGGCCAGAAAAATGCATTAGTGACTATAATTTAATGTGGTATCCCTGAACTTCTGGGAGTTACTGATTTTCCTAGGGCAAGGGACAGGATATCTTAGGATAGGAAGTAAAAATACATTAGAAATTACTTCAGAGTGGAGGTGAAAGGTGGTGTGTGTGTGTGTGTGTGTGTGTGTGTGTGTGTGTGTGTGTAAAGGTGATGCATATTTATATTTCTATTTTATTCTGAGACATAGATATACATGAAGAAATGCAAAAAATTAATATAGCTTCTTGATTATCATTTACTTTGTCAGAGTGAAAAATTTTAAATATATGTGGGGAGAAAAAAAGTAATGATTTAGAAATAATCTGTTCTTAAAAATCACATTTTACATCTAATAATGGTTTTTGTTGTTCAGGGTTTCATACTTATTACTATAACTTCATTATTAAGAATATATAAAGCTGGACACTAGTGACTTATGCTTGTAGAATCCTAGATACTCAGGAGCCTGAGATCTGATGATCACAGTTCAGAGCCTTGCAGGGCAGTAAAGTCTACGAGACTCTTACCTCCAATAAACCAGGGAAAAGCCAGAAATAGAGCTGTGGCTCAAGTGGTAGAGTACTAGCTTAGAGGGGAAAAAGCTAAGTAGAAGCATGAAGCCCTGAGTTCAAGCCTCAGTACTGGTACACATACACACAACACACACACACACACACACACACAATATAAATACACATATATACTATATTCTATTTATGATTGTATTGTATATAATATGTATTGTGAACAGTATATATGATATATATATCATGTAAAATATATTATATATAATCAATATATAGCATTTAAAATAACTAAGTTGTCAAGGAAGAACTTAAAATTTGTTCAATCTATGCAGATATTTATTTTCCCTGATGCAGATACAGCTTGGCTTCCAGGAAGAGCCTAATGACATTTGGAGGTGAAGGCATTTGTAAAGAGAAACAACAAAACACGGTACCTTGGGAGCTGACATCGTACTTGTCAGCGGAGAGAGACTTGATGTCAATGGTGACTTTTTGTAACATCTCTATCACTTGGACCTGTTGGGTGAAGTCCTGGAGCATGGCAGTGCCACAGCCCCGCAGGTAGGCCTCCAGGATCACCGCGAACCGCTGCTGATAGTGTCTAGACTGGGCTATCTCACTTCTTAAGAACCAAAACAAGAAGTGACCAATTCTTTTGTTCTGAAGTGGGAAGAAGAGATGGTCATGATTAATGATGTTCTGTGTTTAATCTGGAAATTCCTAGTGATTTACAATGTCATGCTATTGCTGGGAGCTGGGAGCTCATGCCTGTAATCCTAGCTACTCAGGTGGCTGAGATCTGAGGATTACGGTTCAAAGCCAGCCTGGGCAGGAAAGTCCATGAGACTCTTATCTCCAATAAACCACTCCGAAAATTGGAAGTGGCACTGTGGCTCAAGTAGTAAAGTGCTTGCCTTGAACTGAAGAGCTGAGGGACAGCACCCAGGCCCAGAGTTCAAGTCCCACGACCGACCAAAAAAAGAAAAAAAGAAAACAAATAATAACAGATGTTGGCAGGGATGTGGCCAAAAGGGAATGCTACTACATTGTTGGTGGGAATATAAGCTGGTTCAACCACTCTGGAAAGCAGTATGGAGGTTCCTCAAAAGACTAAAGATAGAACTCCCCTATAACCTAGTAGTCCCACTCCTGGGCTTATACCCAAACCATCACAATCAAGGCCACACTAAAGCTACAGTACTTACTCTTAAGCCACGCTTTAGTAGGAATCGGGCAAGGGCGCTGTCATGGTATGGTTCAAACTTCACAGCCTAGAGGAAAAACAGGTTGACTTTGAAGGATTGCCATCTATGTCTATCATTCAGGAAGAAGAAAATGGAGACACACTCTTGCTCTGATTGAGTGGGTCTTTCTGGCTAGTGTAGTGAGAGTCTTACTAGTCACCTAAATCCAATCTTTTCTTTTAGAAGACACAGAGGACCCAGCTAACCATTGCTTAGGATCACAGAGTAGCTGATGACAAAACTGGGATTAGAGATCAGAACTCTTTGATTCCTAGACATGTGCTTTTCTCACTGTAGAGGTGAAGAGGTGATAGCATTTGCTCCAAGTAGGAGCTGACTTGATTTATTGGAAGGGGAAAGATGGAGATGGCGCTCACAAATCTCTAAAGTATATCATAAGAGAGGTATTACAATGAAAATTGATAGTGGAAATAGAGCACAAATCATGAGAAGATTATTACATGTGAAGATGGGTTAGATGTGAAGATCTGGCAACCCTACCATTTCTCTTTTGGTCATCTCATCACAAGAAAGAAGTGGTCTCACAGCTTCTAACTGCAAGTCCGCAACAGGCCTGGAGCAATTAATATAGAACTATCATCACCTGCTGCCATGTTGTGGAAGACTCAGAGCTCTTCATCAGAATACCCCTGGTTCTAATGCTTCTCTTGTAAAACTTGGCCTTCATTTGTAGTGCTTAGTATTGTGGGAATCATGGTCTGATGTCGTGAATATTGATTTTATTAGCAAAGAAACAGACCAATAAAGTGCAAAAGCAATTAAATATTGATAAGTGCATGTATATTTCTTACATTATTCTCTCTCTATTTTTAGTAATGTTGAAGTAATTCATTAAATGCTAAAAACAGCACAACTAAGAAATACTGTTTATATTATGAATACACATATAAAGTTAGAGGATAGATATTTTTTGTTGTTGTTGTTGGTCGTGGGGCTTGAACTCTGGCCCTGAGCTCTGTCCCTCAGCTCTTCAGCTCAAGGCTAGTGCTCTACCACTTGAGCTACAGCACCACTTCTGGTTTTCTGGTGGTTTACTGGAGAAAAGAGTTTCACGGACTTTCCTGCCCGGACTGGCTTTGAACTGCGATCCTCAGATCTCAGCCTCCTGAGTAGCTGGGATTATAGGTGTGAGCCACCAGCGCCCGGCTAGGATAGATACATTTAAACTTTAAAAAGCCTCAAATTATTATTAGAGTGTTCCCAGAGCAACAGAAGAAATTTCCATTCTAGTTTCTGTCTTAGGACGTGGAGGCTTCATGGTATTTTAGGAATTATTGATACTAACTTCATAATGTTTCAATTATATCTATGCTTTCAAAATGGCTTTTCATGGTTATGTCCAATAGGTGCTGGGATGGGGTTATTTAAGGCATTCCTTAATTCCAGGAATTAGTTATGTAGCAAACTGAATTCACTTTAAATGTGTTCTGAGTTTCTAACCTGAATGCCTTTCTGACCTTCATGTTTCACTTCTGCAAAGACAATGTAGATCTCAATATGGAGATGGTTTTCATCAGAAATGAGTCACTTAACCATCTGAAAATGTCTCAAATATCTTTACAAATGGTTGCTACTCTTCAAATTTAAAGTTTATTGTTATTGTTTATTGTTTATATTTAATCTTGTTGTTAATAAAATTTATTGTTAATATTACTACCTGGCCTTTTGCATCTAAAACATTTAAGATGAACACCCTCATCTCCCAACACTACAAACTTTACTTAGAAAATGGGAAATGAAAAATCATTCATAGTTCTCAGAGGAGCTTAGGCAAATTTGCCATGTTGGTTTTGTTATAGAGGAAAACCTTAGTTAGAAAACCTTAGTTATTCTATAATTCTTCAGTGTTAGGCCAGTCTCTGAGCTAATGGGCAGAAGAAAATATCGAATAAATTAAATGAATGAAGGCAAAGGCTAGTATAATGTTTCAAAAGGTAAAGACTCAACATTAAGAATACCCAAAATGCTAATCAGAAAATATCAGGTGCTTCCTATAAACACAGATACGTATTAGACAGTTTGATATTTCAATTTTCACTTGGCTGTTCCTACAGATGTCAAGTCAAACATCACCTAGTCACCACTGTCCCTGGATCCCTTTGTTGAAACTAAATTATTTTCTGGTCCCTTGTTTGCTCACAATACTCTGACTTCCCCCTAAAGTACTTGCCATAATTTGTTATGACATGTGTTAATGTAAGTACTTATTTGATGCCAGTCTTCTCAGTATATGTTGTTGAATTCATAAATGAACACATTTAAGCTCTACAATAGCACTTTCCCTCTAATTGCTTTACTTGCTTTTCCTTGTCAAGCATCATAATATAATTTGAGAACTGCAGTATTGAGCAGAAGGGCTGTTCTTTGGTTTCTTAACTTCTAAACCTCAGGCATATGACAGCCTCTCAGGATCCCGAGGAACATCATGAGAACCAAAGCAGCAATCCAGTTCTGCTTTAAATATTCTACCTAGAATAAGAACAAGTGAGAATGGGGCTTCTCTCCTAACAGCATCAACTCAGTGAAAAGGGCAGTAGTCTGAGAGTACCTAAGTGTAAATTCTGCTTGCCAAGTATGTGATCTTGGTCTCCTTGGGTCTAATTTATTTTTCCTTTTTTCTTTCTTTCATTCTTCCTTCCTCTTTTTTTTTTTGGGGGGGGGGTCCTGGTGCTTGAAGTCTGGGCCTGAGCTCTGTCCCTGAGCTTCTTTTGCTCAAGGCTAGTGTTCTACCACTTGAAACACGGTGCCACTTTCAGCTTTTTTTGAGTAGTTTACTGGAGGTTAAGTATCAAGGACGTTCTTGCTCGGGCTGGCTTTGAACTGCTATCCTCAGATCTAAGCTCTCTGAGTAGCTAGAATTACAGGCAAGCCACTGGTGCCTGGCTTCTTTATGTCTAATTTCTTAGATATAAAATGTGATTGCCAGGCTGGGATGTGGCTCAAGTAATAGAGTGCTAGTAAGGCACTGAGTTCAAATTTTAGCACTGAGGGGACAAAACACAAATGTTAATTTGATCTCCATCAGTCAGGGGTAAAGTCAAGTAACACAATACATACATACAGATACAAAACAGTAAATCACTTGCAGCTTTGAAACAAGTCAGCCTTCAATAAGTTGCATCTATCATTAAAACAATAAAAGAGAACAAAGTATTCCCACTGGGACAATTCTAAAAAATAAAGCGAAATTCAGTACTAATGTCTTTAAAATGCTCCTCAGCAAATCTGCCAGGACAATAAATGAGAGAGTTTCCTACTTTTTGAAATGGCTTCATGGGATCTACTTTGACTAACCATGAAACTGGGAACAAGGAACGTCTGTTGACAACTGAATGCATGGCTGTGTGCATGCAAATAAATCCTGCTGATAAGCCACCACCTCATACCTGCACCAGCTGTAGAAGGTAATGCAAAACATCATCATCCTCCAGGCCCTCCAGTTTCTGGACCGCAATGGCTCTGACATTTTCATCCGAAAAGTTGCAGTCCAGGAGTTGCATCGTTAACCCTACATCCAAAGCACTTTGGTCCCAGATCTCCTTTCGGGTTAATAGTTGGTAGGTTTTGGCCACCATTTCTTGCTGTCCCCATTTCACTGAGCTAAATAACTTGGGATATGCTTTTGGATGCTTCAGGCTCTCGTATCTAAAATGCCAGAGCAACTCTTTGTCTTCTGCAGTGAGGGGGTTCAGTGGATCCGTGGCTATGATGGCCTCCAGTTGCTTGCGAAGCTGGTTGGGCATTTCAGCTCGAACCCGGTCCCCTTCGGGGTCAGGAGTGGGGCAGTGCTTAGGCAAGGCTATGGGGTGGCAGTAATTATCCAGAAGAATGGAGATGGACATGGAGTTCTCTTTGTCTGGGTTGGTTGCTGAGGTGAGCTTGTCCGCGTTGAAGCTCCCTTGGTCTTCCCCCTTGGCGGAGATCTGCCACATGTGGAGCACGTACTCGCCGTGGCGCAGGAGGCCGCGGTGGTCGATCAGCAGCAGGTTCACGTAGTAGAGGAGCTGGACTCGGCCCCTGGACTCGGCCCCGGGAGACTCGGCCTTGGCGGAAAGCGCGGGCGCCTTGCCGCAGTAGAGCTGGAGGTTCAGGAGCGCTCCCCTGGGCAAGTCTTTGATTCGGATCCGGAACTCGAGCCAGGCATTCCAGAGCACTTCCTCGGTGAAGGGCTTGGGGCTGGTGCGCTGCTGGCAGAGGACTTGCTGCCCGTGCTGAATGTTGGCCTCCACGAAGACCGTGAGCTCGGCGTTGCGCGGTAGGACCGGGATATCAATGCCTCGGATCTTGACCCGGAACCTGCGGTCACAGTCCCACAGGGACACGGTGAACACACTCTCGTGGTCCTTGCCGTGGATGGTCAGCTGCTCGTGGTAGCCGGTGACCCCCGTGCAGTCATCCACCAGCGGCCACTCCTCCTCCCTCACCTGGTCCCGGGCTGGGTCGGGAGGCGTGTCCAGGACCAGGTGGATCTCTTCTCCCATCTTGAGGCAGTGCCTCACCCACTGGAAGTTTTTGATGGGCGTTTCGCCCACCAGGTACTCATCCCGGCCGCAGACGCGCAGGACGAAATCCTGTTCGTTCTGGCTTTCGGGGATATCCATCAGCGATTTCTTTTTGGCCATCTTCGTGAAGAAGCTGCGGAGGATGCAGCCCGGGGTGTCGTCGGCCGACACCTTGATGGTCTGGCTGGTGGTGCTGCGGTGGATGACGATGAAGATGCAGTTGTTGGCGATCTTCTTCCACAGGTACTCGGGGAGGGGTTTGGAGGTCACCCAGGGGTGCATGGCGTAGAGCCTGGCGTCGCGGCCCGCCACCTCGGCCATGCGCGGGGTGAGCAGGCGGCGGCGCGTGAACTCCAGCTCGTCGTCGTGCACGTTGGTGACGTCGGTGACGTCGTAGCCGATGAGGGCGGTGAGCTGGCGCTGGAAGGCCAGCGTCTCCTCCGAGGGCGCATGCCGCGGCACCACGTGGATCTGCCCGGGGCTCCGACGCAGACCCTTCCAGTGGCACAGGCAGTCCAGGGTCTGCACCACTTGGCACTTGTCGTAGATCTCGTACCACTGGCCCTTCTTCTGGTAGAGCAGGAGGAAGCGATCGGGGCCCAGCCGGTGGTAGAAGTCGGCGGCCACGCTGGTCTCCAGCGCGCGCAGCCACAGCTGGGCCTTCATCTGCGCCACGGTGCCGCGGCCGGCCACGTGCAGCAGCGCCGTCTCGGGGGTCTTGCTGTGGCGCTGGCTGGTGGGCAGCACGAACTCGATGGGGATGAGCTCCATGGAGGACAGGCTGGCCGCCGCTCCACGGGGCTTCATCCTCCGGCGCCTGCGGTGGTTGTCCTCCCTCAGAACCACCGGCTGGTCATGGTGCTCCAACTCCATACCCTAGGCCACCTGGGGAGGAGCGGAAAAACGGAGGGTTTGGTCACAAGAAGGCCTTCCCTTGGCGGTTCCTGGGCAAGATGCTGGGAAAGGGCGCAGCGTCGACGTGCACTAGCAGACCTAGATGGATCAGGTACCTTAAGCCCCTCTCCCTCTCCCCCACCCCCTCTCTCCAGTACTGGTTGGTCTTAGGGCTTTAACTCAGGGTCTAGGTGGTATCTCTGAGTGTTTTTTGTGAAACGCTGGTGCTCTCCCACTTGGGCCACACCTCCACTTCCGGCTTTTGGTAGTTAATTGGAGATAAGAATCTCTCTCTGGCTTGGAACTCCAATCCTCGGATCTCAGTCTCCTGAGTAGCTAGGATTACAGGGTGACCCGCCAGTGTCTGGCTCTTGATACTTTTGTGTTGCAAAGTGTTTATGAAAAAAATATGGAAAAACTCATCTAGTACGATGCCTAACATATAATAGCTCAAAACATAACTGTTCTTAAGTATACTGGAAGGCACAGATAGGTAAGACAGCACAGTTAGGAGTCAAGGTCCTAGTCTAGAAGTTGCTGGCGAGCCCTTGTGAGAAACCAAAGCACAGCTTTGAAAACAGCCTTTGACGTGTTTCCTTCAAGTGGTCTTTCAGTTCTCCTCTCGCCCAGACTCTGCACCCAACATTGCTCATGTTCTCTATTTTCAAACACTCTGAACCCAGATCTACTCCTCAGTTAACTTTTCTTTCCTTTTTTTTTTTTTTGGTTTTCCTTTTCCTTTTAAAATTTCTCATTGAGAAAGCTAGTCATTTCATTCATAAAATTAAAAAATTACTAGAATTGGTAAAATTACAAACATTTGAAGATACATCAAATACTGAAATATGAAATGTGTATTGAGTTGTCACTGCTACTTCTGGGCAGTGTTTAAGGGGAGGCACTCCAGGCTATATTTGCCTAACAGGAAACTCAAGGTAATTTTAACTTTGTACCGATCTGATCTGTCTCTGCTTTAGATATGATAGAAAGCTGAATTTCTGTACTCCAGTGACCCCAGTACTATTTAGGCCCCAAATGATTCTTTATTGTTTTGCTCTGATAGTTCCATCCCTACCAAGAATTTACTTATCCACTTATCCACTCCTTATGAAAATGTTTAACAGGTGTCTCCTCTCTGTAAAACATTTTAAGTATAAATATGAAACACTGCAAAAAGAAACCTATCAAATATTATTGTAAACATATTAAAATTGAAACATGAAATGAATATTTATTATCACCATGTTGTAGTGTCTTTTTTACTAAATAAGCATCAACAGTCTCCCACATAACCAAAGTTAAGGAGGTTCATAATTACTTATTCCCTTAAGCACAGTGGAACACTTGATATTTACCCTAAAGAACAGTTTGATGCAAAGCTAAGAAATGCAAGTCTTACTAGATCTAAATTTATGTTTAAATCTTGCCTTAACTTATTTTTAAAGTCGATAGCCCTTCCCTTAAAATATAATGAAGTTATACTTAGTAAGTAAATGAAACCAACTGACCAAAACAACTGTCCCTTGCAGCCTAAAACATTCACTTTGATCTTTTGCTACATAAAAGATTAATTAAAAAATAAAGAAACCATAAGATACATGGAAATAAATGCACACTTGAAATAAAACATGCACAAATGCAAGTCTACAACAAGAAAACATACAAACACACAGCAGTGTTTACCTTGGTTATTTCAAATGGTCTTATACAATAGAAGATTCAGCAAAAAGCATACACTGACCAAATACTCACTGGATGCCTTCATGGTTGAGGCTCTGGAGCTTTCTCCTTTTCTGAAACGATGTTAGACTCACTGTAAGTACAGTATTTTCTAAGCCTGCACTTGTAAGAATATGAAGCCTGGCTTGTATAGCCCTGGTCCTCCCTCTTCCTCCCAAACAAAAACAGAAAAGAGCCAATGCACCTGTAAACTATTGCCGGAACCTGTGGATATCCACAGTCTAGGCTGGACCAGGCAGTAAGACATGAAATCCTGATAAAAATATTCTAGTCAAGGAGGAAGTGTGTTACTATTCCAGGTCAGATTAACAAAGGGTAAAAAAAAAAAAACCAAGATCAAAGGAAGTAATACATGATAGAGCGGAGGAGGTAATGATGCAGAGGGTTCATTTGTTTAATATTTTGAAAACGAAACAAATTCAAACCTACCCAGCGCACCTCTCAATTCTTCCGCTTTTCTGGGGCTCCCTTCATATCCAGATGCAGAGGAAGTGTTGCAGTTACCAGGAAGGAAGTTTTAACCAAGTTGATTATACATGAGATTGCTCATTTTAAAAGTGTCAGAAATGCATTTCCTGTTAAAACACAGAGAGCAAGAAAAAGAGAGTGAGCAGTGTTTACCTTTTGTTTTGGCTCTTTGAAGTAATGTTTCAAAAATGAGAAATCCCAAAAAATTAAAATTAGAGATCCAAACAAAAATATCCATGAAACATAAACAAATGAAGTATTATTTTATAGACGGTTATAAGAAGAAATAGCCTCATAACCACACTATTACATCCCTTGCTAGGAGGAGTTCAAGAGCTAAATAAAGCTCATGGGAATTTCCCTCATGGGAATTCAAATAAACCCTGGTTCATACATTGTCACTGAGGGGCAGGGAAGGGGAAACTATTGATATTGAAAACTGAGTTAAAGGGAATGCCTGGGAGCTTATTTCCTTTGTACAGTAAGATCTCTTTCTCTCTCTCTGTCTCTCTCTCTCTCTCTCTGTCTCTCTCTCTCTCTGTCTCTCTCTCTCTTTCTTTCCCCAGAGCATTTAGAACCCAAAATGTCACTAGCTCAGAGAAAATCCTGGGGTCTTATTTATTTTGTGTGTGTGTGTGTGTGTGTGTGTGTGTGTGTGTATGTGTGTGTTTGTGTGTTCATGCGCGAGAGCAAACTGTATTGAGAGCACACTGTGTTGAGAGTAGGAATTTACTATAAACAATGATTAATTGCAGACAAAATAGAAGGAGGGTGCTTAGAATCCTGAGAAATTTAGGGAGCTACATTGTTACAGCATCAGGCAGATGTCCCTTAGGAAATGACTCCTGATTCCCATGGAATTAGAGAACACAGAGAAGTCATCCTAAATTATTCTTAAGGCAGATCTTTATCTTTTGGGCCACCTCAATTTCTTCTAGAATCCCCAGGCATGGTCAGCTGCTGAACTGCTGCCCTCTCTTCTCCCTCCCAGGGGTCCCTACACCAGAGTTCATTTTCCACCATGAGCTCCCATGAACTCCAGCTGAGCTCCAGGGACAACTAGAAGGATGGAGTTGGCCTCACAAGTCTCTTGTGTAATTATAAGTCTCTTAGAAGTATGTGATTATAATTTCCTCTGAACCACTCTGATATCAAGATAACAATTCTTTGATCTGTTCTATCTCCTTTGGCATAGTCCCCTCAGGTCTTAGCTTTTTAAATAGTGCTCTAATAGCTGACATCAGCAGGCAAAGGCTGCCTCCCAAATATGTAGAGGGGATTCTAAGGGTTGCCAAAAGGAGACTGCCATGGTGGTCCTGATAGAAAGGAATGTATTGGGAGAGCCACATTGTCAGGGTGCACTCTAGAAGAGGGTGTGGAGTGTAGCAGCTCAAAATAATGGCAGAGAGAGATCTGACACCATTGCAGTTGACTGAGCCTGGGTGACCTTCCACCGCCCCCAGGTGCACAGTGACCAGTTACCTGGCGGTTTACAGATGCTGGGTGGGGACTTCTAGGGAGGGCCGCGTGCAGTTTTGCACGGAGGGAATATAAGGGTAGGGATCTACATCCCGTTTTTGCATGGAGAGAGAACAAAGGGAAGGGGCCATTTTTCCCAAGCAGACTTAACAGGGACTTATCTTCCCCAAATGAGAATACTTGTGCTGGACATTGGTGGCTTACCTCCAGGAATCTAGGATCTGGGGCCCAAGGTTTGAAGGCAGTCTGGGAAGGAAAATCCACAAGACATTTGCCTCCAGTTAACCACAAAAAAAATGCTGAAAATGAAGCTTGGGTCCCTTTGCATCTGTTCAAGTATTCAAATAATCTCTGCCTTATGACTAAGCTTGCAGATTCTTTAGGCTTTATTGTTGGTTTGAGATTGATAGTACTGTGGTCTTAAATCCTAATATAGCTACTGAAATTTGACTACTACTAAATTTGACTGAAATGTTTCCAGGCAGCAGTAATGGCAAATACCTCCTTCCTCTTCTTCCTTGTCAAGGCTGTCTTACTAATGAGATTATTAGTAGAAATGAACATCATCCTTTTCTGTTTATTTACATGTTTCTTAATTTTCTCTTGTTTGAATCTGTATGGAGCTAGTATTGTGTTTTAAATATACTGGGCATAAAAATCATTTTGGGTGAAAGCAAGAAGTCTGGCCTTCTATATCACATGGAAATGCCAAGATGGAACAGATTAGAAAACAAAAAGACAGTCGAAGTCAATGATCAGGAAACAGATGAAGTATTAAAATTCGTTGTTTATTATGAGGAAAGCTCTTTGCAATGGACTTCAGAGAGATTTATGGTGCAGCTGGGGAGACAGAATACCATGCAGATGAAAACCTAAGTGCCGGGCTGGGAAGGTGGCTCAGTGGTAGAGTGCTTGCCTTGCATGCCTGAGGCCCTGGGTTCGATTCCTCAGCACCACATAAGCAAAAAGAAAAAAGCCGGAAGTGGCGCTGTGGCTCCAGTGGTAGAGTGCTAGCCTTGAGCTGAGGAGCTGAGGGACAGTGCCCAGGCCCAGAGTTCATGCCCCACGACCGCCCCCCCCCCAAAAAAAAAGAAAACCTAAGTGCCGAGTGATAATCTGTGGTCCAAGCAGTCTAACAGCATCATGGTGCTGTAGAATCCAGGGATCCATGACTCCCGCTCTCTTTGCCATCCTACACTGGCCATTTCATCTCTCTTGGCTTTTGAATCTACCAAAAGGATAATAACCATTCTATTTATCTCCTAGGAAGTTGCTAGAAATCACCAATTCTCAACAGAATAAACGAATTGAAAATACATTTTGCACTATTCTGTCTTAGCTGCTTTAGCAGCTATGAAACCCAAGGTGTCATACCAACGCATGACATACCAAGGAAGAAGAGGACATGTCATCTTGTGTGCTTGTTTGTCAGAAAGGAAAACTTTCCCAGAGGCTTCCTTCATTCTTTTGTTCATAACTGGTGCTCGATCACTTGAGTTACTTCTCTAGTTCCAGCATTTTGCTGGCTAATTGGAGATAAGAATTCTTGTATTTTTCTGGGCTGTTTATAATTTTCAATCCTAAAGTAGCCTCCTAAGTGGCTGGTTTACAGTACCTGGCCACACCCAGCTTTTTATTGGTTGAGCTGAGGGTCTCATGAACTTTTTAACTTGGGCTGGCCTTGAACCTCTCAATCTGTCTTTTTTTTTTTTTTTTGTCGGTCATGGGGCTTGAACTCTGGGCCTGAGTGCTGTCCCTCAGCTCTTCAGCTGAAGGCTAGCCCTCTACCACTTGAGCTACAGTGCCACTTCTGGTTTTCTGGTGGTTATTGAAGATAAGAGTTTCATGAACTTTCCTGCCTAGGCTGGCTTTGAACTGCAATCCTCAGATCTCAGCCTCCTAAGTAGCTAAGATTACAGGTGTGAGCCACTGGTGCCTGGCTCAATCTGTCTTTTTTATACCTGGGATTACAGATGTGAGCTATTGTGCTCAGCTCACTCTCCATTCTTATTAAAAGAAATGGGCCATCTAGTTCACTTTTCTTGATTTCCTTGTCCAGTTAAACTTTGCCAACACAGTTTAAAAAGTACCTCACACATTTCTAGAAACATTTTTTAAGTAAATAGCTTTTTACAAATTCCAGTTACTTAGCATGGCAGTACAGTATACACAGTATGTTTTATGATCTTTCCTTAACAATCTGCCTCGACTTCCAAATCACCTGAACGACTGAATGAAACGAATCTCTGTTCCTATACGTGCTGGGTTTCTCCACATTTGTACCTCTGAGTGCTGCTCCCTCTATTCCCTCCCATATTCTCTCCTCTCCTGTACAGTCTTCCCTCATTCCCATGCTTTGCCACTACTCAGGTTGAGTAATCTCCTCTGGGTGGGGGCTTCCAGATTTTGGAAAATTTCCCACATTGCTAGCTACTACAGTAACAATAATACACCAACAGTCACTTGTTATAGCTCTTTCTATGTGTCTTTATGGTTCTAAGCACTTGAGCACGTCCATTCATCCCAAGGAGAGGGACACTACTGCTATCCTTATTTATAGATGATGAAAACAGGCACAGAGAGGTCAAGTGGCTGCTCCAGGCCTCGTAGCTTGTCAGCAGCAGCTACCACCATGCTTCTCTCAGGGGAGGACAGATGTCCCTTGGCTGCCTTTAAAGAACTCAAACATTTTTACCAGATGTTTGAGTTCTTAAGATGAGTGTCAGCTCTGTTCATTGCTTTGATCCGCAGAGATTGCAACACATGAAGCAAGGGTCTTGATACATGTTTGTGGAATGGATAGTTTTATTCATTCTCTTTCTCTCTTTCACTCTGTCTCTCATCACTAGAATCCTTTGCATTTACAGATATTGTGCAAGAAAGCTTTTCAGACCAATCAAATCTTGGATAGCAACTCTTTCCCATTGAACCATTTGACTTAAAATGTAGCAATTTGTCTCCTATTGAAACACTGAAAGATGGAGGGAAATGGACTGTGAACTTAAAAAGGACCCCAGTTTGGCTAACATAAAGAGCCACAATGCTTTAGAAATTTGTCCTCTAGACCCCTTTTGTCGTTCCCTTGCAACACTGGCTGATTTATACTAAGAATCCTTGTGAGCCAGAAGTTCTCTCATGGAAGTGGTTTACAGGAGACACCCCTGGACTCTGCCTTCAGATTGTCAAGGGTTTTTATTGATCTGCTTACATATCATTCTAATCGCCTGCCTACATGTCCACTTTTCCCCACTCATACTTGTTCTTAACATATTTCCAAACCACCTGTGATTCCTTCATTCACTATTCATGGCATTTCCCATCCTCCCCCCAGATCAAGGACATTGCCTGGAAGAGAGGAAGATGGGGTAGATCCATGGCTGGGATGGAGTCTGTTCTAAGACCTGAGCACAAGGCTACAGGAGGTGCTTCTGAGGCCTTCCAAAGCTACCCTTGCCTGCAAGGCTCGGCTTGCCTTTTCTGGAAATACCCTTTATTTGAGAATGTTTAATCAGTGTGTTCTGCAGATGTGGAAAGACCCTGTGGGGTGTGAGAGTTTGAGTTCCCTTCGGGTGTGGCCTTCTGCCCCAGTCTCTGCGCCTCTAAGATAAATGTGACAATGGTCACCTTTTTTTTTTTTTTTTTTTTGGCCTTCTTTCTTGCCACCCTTCATTTTCTGTAAACATCAGTGTTCACTGATTTGAAGGGGAAGGGATTCTGGATTGGAGGCCTTGTGTGTGTGTGTGTGTGTGTGTGTGTGTGTGTTAATAGGTTGCAGGCTTTATGTGAGATCAGTTTATAAAATTCATCAGGCTGCCCAAGCAATGGACACTTTCTGTATGTTGTATGTCAATCAAGGTTTGAAAAATAAGTCTTATTTTAAGTGTTTACTTAAAAAAATCTAAAAGCGAAACTTTCCATAATTTCTTCAACATTTGAGTGTCATCCTGCCTCCCTCTTCTCTCTCCCTTCAATTTTGAACATTCCAGTTTAAGGTGAGGTCAGTTCTAAGCTATTGTATTTGGCTCTCCCAAGTTCTAATCTTTGCCTAGTCACTCCATATTGTGTTAGCTTGGAGGGATAGGGAACTAGACAGAATGTCAGAAAGAAAACTCGGTCACTTTTGAACTTATTTGGAGAAAATGAGTCTCTCATCTGAGGAATTTAGGAATTCCATTCGCTCATTCACTAATTGCTACATTCAGTCCTATTTGTTCATCCATTCCTTCAGCATTCATTATTGAGTATTTTTTATGTGCTGACACAGGCAGCTGCTACCTTCAGGACACTTGCAGCTCTGCAGAGTTGAGATGTTCCCTTCTTGTCAACTTTATGAAGCCATGAGCTAGCGTGATAATATTTCACCACTTCCTTTGTCTCTCTTCATGGGTCAAATAGGTTAGCATTCCTTCATTCAGGACTTAGCTTCTTCTCACTAGTGGTTCTGCTCTCCTCCCCCAGCCTCCAATTCTCCATTGAATCTGAGAATGGCTTACGCATCTTGTGCACACTTCCCATTGGCCAAAACTCTGTCATGTGACTCACTGAATGCTAGGAGTGGTTGGAAATACAGCCTATCCATCTGACCACAGAAGCAAGAAAATAAATTTGGCAAACTTTTAACATTATGTTTATCACAGTGCATTATAGTTAATAAAACTGTAATGGGTATGATGAAATCTAAGCATTATCATACATCTAATTTCATGCATCATGAATTATTTCTGTCATGAAACACTTAGAATGTAGCCCTCCAGCTTTAGGTGGCCATCGATGTGATGATTGCATCGTCTCTATATGGAGTAGTAATGATAAGTAAAGGCTTTTACAAAACTAGAAAGCAGTGGCTTATCCTGTTTCCTTTTCCAAATGCCTCTACAGCAATGCAATTCTTTCTTTCGTTGCCATGAATTTCTCTTCTGCTCAGGCAGTGCAGTAAGCCAGAGACTGTACGGAAGAAAATGAAGAGAGTTGTAGATAGCTACGGGTTGACCTTTTCTTTCCACTTATTATTATCTTTAAGTTGTTGTACGTGGGTTGTTGCCACTCAACAAAGCAATCAGTTGACCTTTTCATTATCAAGGTCAATCCTAGTTTTTAAACAAATCATCCTTTTGAAGTGGCTTTAAAGATTGTCTCAGGCATGGAAAACCCAGCCTAGGATTAAGAATAGAGAATGGTGTCGGAGGTTGTATAAGCTGGGTGTCAAAGTAGCAAACAGCACTTCCATCTACATTTCAATGTCCTGTTGTAAGGATTGTAAACTGGAAAAATATAGCTTTTGTTGTATTAGGCTCTACCTTATGGGGTGGTGATGGGGGAGGGATGCCATACTTTTGTGACTAGCCGTCATCTCTGTCCTAGTTGTGCTACCAACTTAAATGTCCTTCCAGGACCCTGATTGCTCCCAAATTAGATGTTCTAGAACTGATTTTGAGAAAACAAAAGAGGACCTTGCTTTAATATAATGACTCTAAAGTAGTTAAATGTTTTATGATAGTTGATTTGTTAGCATACACTTGTTGGATTGAAAGAACAAGTCCTAGACACAGCAATGGAGAGCATTCTAATACTGTGATATGGACCAAGGTAAGTGAGGTTGTCAGTGGGACTGGTAGGAAATACTCCAGTTCTCCTAAAAGGCAAGTGTTAAGACCACCTCCTCTACCCTCTTTGAGGTTAGAAGTGATCGTGTGGCTTGCTTGATTAATGAAATCTGAGCAAAATTTGCCACTGAGTTCCCCATTTCTTGCCTTCTGCTGGTAGAGACCTTAAAAACATTTACTGAGTTGGAATTTTGTCAAGTTGGCCACTGGAGAGACGGGAATCAACAGAATTCCCATGTTGGGCTTGTCTATGAGCAAGCAATGTACTTGGGCTGGGCCAACATGCTGTTGTATAACTATGATCCAAGTTAAGTGACAGTTCAAGGTTCTTCTTGAAAAAATAGGCTGACAATATTTTGGAGCAAATTTTATAAGGTTAATTTTTACACAGTGAGATTTAAAGCCCTTTTGTGGCAATTTGTGTTGAAATCAACTATAAGTAATATATTAAAAACTATATTATTTTATCAAATATATCTAATTTTAAAGTGTTTCAAAAGTAATGCTGTACACTTCTTTAAAAATTTTTAAATTGTTATTATAAAGGTGATGTACAGAGGGTTTACAATTATGTAAGTCAAGTAATTAGTATGCTTCTGTTTGGACAATGTCACCCCTTACCTTG